CTGACTAAGATTTTATATATTACAAGCGAGTTAGAAAATACATCCGACATTGCATTAAGAAGACCAGGATCCATGTCCTGAAGGTGATTTTCTACTACTTCGTGTGTAGCTGGCGGGACCCCGGAAACACCAGGATTCGCTTCTGCAAGAGCAGAAGGATCCGACGATGTTCCCTGATCATCTAACCTGGCCAGTGATGGGTCTTCGTCCCTTTCTCGTTTTTTTAATAAACGACGAGAAGAGTAGTAGTAACAGGCTAGACCACCTACCAGACAGAAAGCAGTCCAACAAGCGGGTAAGATAATTTGATCAAGTAATTCTAAGTTCATGGTGTTATTTGTGGTAAAAATCAATGGGGGAATGCCGCTACTATTAAAGAAAAGACTATTACTGACTAGATCGTACTTTATCTGTCGAAAGACTTTCCGTAAGATCTTGCCTATTTAGATAGATATAACTTTCATTTTTCTATCCTGTGAAGAAGCAAGACGAAATCTTTCTCTTTCTATACGAAATTTCAGAAAAAGGGCTAAATACGTATAGCAGAGACGCGAAGTAAAGTGTCAAACAGAGAGGACAAAATCAAAATATTATGTTCCATCCTCAGAGTTTGGTATCAAGAGATCAACCAGGATCTCAAGGCTACCAACTTAATCTACTAAGGGATCGGGGTCCGGCAAGCCCGTATGCCCCTCTGAGACACAATACTTGGTCAATGTTATACGGCTCACCTAACGAAAAGTCAATCAACTTATCAAAGTTCTAATATCTTTTTCAATCAGAAAAAAAGCCGCAAAGGAAAGAAAAGAAAAGTTAGGAAGCAAGCAATCTCAGTAGCAGTAGCTTGAAGCAAGAGTCAGAAGAAAGAGAATGAACTTGTAATCTTCCCGCCTGATCTCTTTTTTCCCTATCAGGCCAGTCTTTATTCTTGTATAAGTTCTTAGCCGTCCTATGGGCATGCATCTAGTTCCATTTCAGCTATTTTGCCATTCCAGTTCCAATTGAAATGGAAAGGATAGCGTATCCAGTTGCAGGCCTAAGGGTTTCATTGGAGTTGGATTTCATCTGTCTTGAGTTCTTTCTGCCTTCGAGTGAGTTTCTTTCTTTTCAAGCGGAATGCCTTATTGGAAAGTTCTTGTTTAGTATGACTCAGTCTGACTTATACTAGTGAGTGTCTTAATAGACAAAAAGATGGTAATTAAGACAGAAACTTGTTTCCTTTTAGAAAGTCAAAATCGACTCCTTTTTCTTAGCCAGCGAGTGCTACTTCCCTAGAGCGAGAAAAAAAAGTAGAAGTTGGACTCTCTCTTCCCTTTATAATAGAAGGCTTTCCATTGCGTTCCAGGCGCCGCCATCGAGAGGGTCAGTTGAAGTGAAAGCTCTTGGAATTTTGAGTCAGACAGGATATGCTTTATCAGCGGAGTCAAGAGTGCTGCCCCGTAGCTCGAAAGAAAGAAACAAAGCTGGCAAGGGACTCACTTATGAAACATAGTTTCAAGAGGTTTTGGTAGCATCTTGTCTTGTCGAGTAAGAGATTGCCCCCTGTAGAGTAGTCTCCGTATCAGTCCATGCCTTTGGTCAGTAGCAAAGTGCCTTCTTAGAGCCAGTAACTTCGTACCTCCAATTGGAGAAAAAAGAAAGAGAAGGGCATCTAGCTCCAGTGAAGATCCTTCCTTTAGTGAGAGTTCCCTGCCAGCCGTAATACCTTGCGAAGCCCTAGGAGTTTCATTGGATAGAGTTTCCCTTCTTTGCGGTTTTCTTTGTTCTGCCTTCCTTTCCTATCCCAATCCCTCTTTTGATAGGGAGAGAGATTTCATACCTGAGTCCGTGTCCGTGTAATCGAGTGAGCAAGTCTTAGAGTTTGCCAGTTTCCTTCCTTGGGCTTTGAGATCCAGTGCCTGCCTTCAGCCCTTCCCCCTTCTATTGACTTTTGCCCGCCTGGGTCATCCGACTTTCACTCACTCACTTCACACTTTCTATATCTCTGTCCGGCTGCATGCTCCTCGCTTACCTCCTTTTCACTAGTGGCAGTAAGAAGTACCAGATTTGGGAGACTTGCTAGCTCTCTTCTTCGACGACCGAAGGGAAGCACTAAGAGATGATGCTTCCAATGCAACTAAACTAGCGATGTGTATCGGCACGCACTTATTCTAATGTGTCGTCTTTGCTTTTCGTACCCGATCCGGGGATTTGTGCGGCGCAAGGGCATTCTTCCACTAAGAGCAATGAGTGAAATAAGCTTCTTCAATTCGCATGTGGTAAGCCAAACCATTTTATCTTCTTTTTTTTTTGCATCTAGAATGCTTTAAGCGGGACAATCATGGTACCAAAGAAGGCGGTGCTTCTTTCTGATCTGAGCCAGGATCTCTGACTTCT